TCAGTGCTGGGACAATAAGTACTGTCCAAGAAATCATTCCCAGATCGAATCCCTTCCGGGCCCGGAACAAACATCCCGCTTACTTAAATTCTACTAATTGGTGCTGAGATTCAAGTGTGAAAGCACTTGGTTCTGTACTTTTTGGTAAAACTTAATATGGAATGGATGTATACATGCACTCGTTCAGAGCCTTAAGACAAATCAAAAAAAAATATGGAAATTGTCGAAGTTTCCCCTGTCCCTCTAATAGGCATGAGTACAATAACCTTCTCTTCCCTTCTCCTATCATTATACTATTACAGAACCTCGATGCCTCATGGTCAGTAATCATTTCCGCCACATTATCGTCTCAGAAGATGTCCGGACATTATCAGGTCCTTCCGCCGATTGCGGTTGGCTGCAAAGAACTGGATCATTAGCCTGCGGATCTCGATTCTCAACAATGAGGTAAACTGGCAGGAACGTTCGGATCCGATTAGTGTTGTGCAATGAGCGGATATGATCAAGTTTTTGCTAATATCTATAAGACATTGGCTGCTATTTGATGGGACAATCCCAAGAACAAAATTATTCCTGAAACACAGAGTGGTTTCAGGGGACGGGAAGAATCGAAACGTATTTGGGAACGGACCCTCTACTTTCAAAACCTTTTCTGAAACACGATGAAAGTTAAGCATCCGAAGATAGTATTCTGATGAGTGACGCTGTGATGCTCTCTATTCCTCCTGAATCTAGTAAGCGTTGGCCAATTTCAACTGCACACGACATTTGCATGTTTTTATCTTATGTTACATACTTTCAGGGATATGTCCCATGAGCGAGGGTTATCGTAGCATTCTATAAACTGGCTTGGAGAAGAGGATTGCATAGATTCGGTCATGTAGGTCGATATCATTTCTTTTTATTTTCATTTCGACAATTTTTTTTATGAACTTTCCTTACACACTTACACGGATGTTCTGAGGCCGTTCTGTAGTTTCGCAGCTCAAGAATCTTGATAGGTTTCCAAATTCGCTCATTTGTTGAGTCCCACCCCTCTCCCATCGTTCCCCATCCCATTTTCTTTCCCACCAGGTTATTACATGATGGTTAATGGCTAGACATGGGAAGTTCTGCTTTCAGGGTTGGATCGGGAGAGTGGGGACAGGGCTTTCTCTCCCGTTCTGCTGCGACTGCGCACTGCGCAGGCAAAGTACGGTGTAAGCCATCAGATTAACATTGATAATGCTATAAACACACAGTAGCGAATCTCGGGTAAATGTTTTCGTGGTCGATTGATTTTTATGGTCCCTTGAAACATCGGAGTTGCTCCTGTGTCCTGCCGAAGACTTCATAACAGTTTCCTCGTAGGTCAGTTCACATTTCTCTTGAGCCTTGTGCATTGGCGACCTGTGCGAGCTCGTCTTACGCCGTTTGCTCAATGCTGTGACGATTGTTAAGCGAGAAGAAGAGAGTGGTTGAACACACACTGAGAACACAGTGCGCTCAAAGTCACTCCTCATCAGCAGCACCCACTTGTTACAAGAGTGCTCCGCACTTTTCGCCAAAAACTCGTAACATCTCTTGAAAACAATTATTTTGACCTAACTGTGAAGCTATTGATCACAAAAGTAGCTAACGAATTTCCATATATTTGTGAACTTTTGGAGCATGAAAAACCATGGCCTACAGCACGTTTTATAAGGAATGCTTTGAATTTTGTCTTCACTTACAATTTGTATTCGATGGGCTATGACCTATTCATAGACTGTCCGTACAAGCTTTGTCAGGTTGTTCGAAAGAGCTGCCGCTGCCACTTCATGAAAATTCACCTTCAATTGATTACCTGTTGATCAATCATTCAAACGCCCTCTTACACTTATTTCATCTTTACCTTACAGGCCTTGCTCATGAGTTTCTCAATCTCCTCATAGCAAACACTCTCTTTACTCTGGTAATCTGAAAATTTTCTCGGTGATATTCGTCTTTTTATTGGTAGAAACTTGATGTTCTTAACCCAGCCATATTGACAAACATCATGATTACTATTAGGAGCTGTATTATTATTATGAAGAATCGGCACACGGAATCGAAGTAAACTGTTAGCATACGGGGTGGAGAGTTTTTAATGTGGGCTGTATGGTAGCACCAAGAAAGCTGTACGGTGGGATCAGGAAAAGAGTATTCCTCAAGACATAGCACAAATGTTTGCTGTATGAAAGGGTACATCATGTCAGACTTATTTACGAAGCCTATACACAATCAAGCCAAAAGTGACATAGGAAAAGTGATTGGTACTGGAATTGATTGAACTCACAGAGCTGAAATACTTCAACCATTAACTCAATCCGATCGGGAGTCGGAAAGGAGAAGACCCGAAAATTTTCGGGTAGTTTTCATTTTTCCTTGACAGTCCTCCTTGATTGGTCCTAAAGTTTCTGCAGCCGAGTATGTTTCTCGTTTCCGTTCAGCAGCGGCAACATCTGTCTGCTTGGCCCCCCCAGGCTAATAGCTGTCATAATTCATTATAATAGAATCCATGTCAAACTTAACAACCTCGAATGACTTCCCGTGAGGCGCCTTCTTTAAGACTACACGTCTATGCCCCAGCCATTTGGGGCAGCTTCTCGTGGCTTGAGATATTTACTTGTCATTATGTGAGTTTACTTTAGGGATTCGTCTAAATCTATAAGGTTCAGAGTGCTTCCGGGAACTTCGAAAACAGAAATGCATGAGCAGTCTCTAGCTTGATCAAGGTTAGGAATAGCATCTGACGCTTTAGGAATGTCATGTGCTAAGGACGCGATTAGACAACTTTCGGTAAAGAGCCTCAAGGTTTTGACACCTCTCTGTCCGTTCTATAATGTTTTTAGCTTTGAAGCGCCAATCTGCAACCTTCAGGATCGGTTTTTAGGAAGCTACAAAAAACTTTGCATGTGCTTAGTTGACCTCTGCGATTTTTTTTTTCTGAGAGAGTTCATTTATTGTATAGGGATGATAAGGGCCCAATATATCTTCGAAATTCTGGAGAGGAAAGGTTGAGAGATGGGACTTCTCAGCGGTTGATTGACGTCCAGACACCAGCCATTGGCACTTTCATATTGAATCCTTATGCTCGGCCTTTTGTTGAAATGCCCTACCACTTACCATAACCCTTTCTTACGAGTTCGTTAATGAAATCAGCACTCACTCTGGAGTACGTAATTTTTTTTGAAACGATGACAACCTAAATTTTGTGTCGGAAAAGGACTGAACCAGGAACTGATCAGCTTCGGGACCGTTCCACCTCTTTCTACTGTCCTTGTCCATCAGGGAATTGCACTCATGTTTATTGTACTTCTCATAGGGACTCGTGACTACCGTGACTATTAATTACAGTCGCACTTTGAGAGGCGAGACATTGAGCGGGTTACGGTAGCCGTGGCGACCCAAGTACTGGGTAAATTATCGATTTCCAGCTTTCTGTTGGTTTTGACTTGGGTATTTCTTGAGTAAATTTAATAACAATTCGTTGAAAGCTAGCACGGAAGTAATACTTCTCTTTGATGTTTTCTTTTCTTCGATTCTTCGAGGGGAGTTGAGAAATTGCTGTGAAATTCCCTTCAAAGTTCCCTCTCTGAAAAATCGTTCTATACTGGAGTGCCGGTCAGTTCGGAACCTCTGTGGTAGATAGAAAGCGCCTTCCACCTAGATTGTAAACAGATTTCTTATGGAGTTTCTGGAGGTTCGATTCTCCATGGAGGCACACGAGCAGCTCAGAACTGTATTGAAATGATTGGTCCTCATACCAGCCTGCGGCACCTATTGTTTGATACATGTTGCCACCGCTTCACAGTATCGTGGCTCAAGATGACTGGCAATCGATTCACGAAACTGCTTTTCCAAAGTCATGCTACAAGTCAGCGATTACTTAGTCGAAGAAACACCATTTCTTATCCCCTCTATGTACATTTGTCATCTTAGAAACTAGTCTGCATACTTGTTCACATGTTCGAACAGCTCCCACTGGGGCGTCTAGCTCCCACTCGGCACATTAGAAAGATGGAGAGTAGAACATAGTCAGGTAGTTACCTTCGAGTGCATTTCTAACAATAGGTCGACGCCTTCGAAGGTCCCATTAGGAGGACCTACGGATGGAACGAGTCTGTAATGAAATAGAGGCACTGTCGTGGCTCACGAGCTCTAGAGGCTATGGATGCTCAAGAAAAACTACGGAACATTGGTATCAAGGGCAATCCAGTAGGTTAGCTTTTGTGTCATTCTAAAGGCATGCTACAAGCCATACAGTACAAGATGTAAAAAAATACTAGAGTAAGGGGTATAGGCCAGCCGTTTGTAAACTGCTCTACAGTGAAGTCTCCAATTTCGTTACCTCGACCAGTGTTCCGCTTAATACCTGTTTTTTCTAATTCCCAGAATTAGAGACTTTGTTTATTTCTTTTGTTTACTGTTGAGCTACGACTTTATCCAGGTAGCTCGAAGGATGTCTACTCCAACACCTAGCTATAGAGCGCAATTTCTGATGTTAAAATATTGATGACCAAGTCCAGCTCCTAAATTACAAAAGCTCATTTCAGGATGAGTTCCCAAGTGGGCGCTATCGCGTCCGTGAACAATCTCATCTCAAAGGTCTTCAAGCAACCAAAAGGAGATTTTGTGAGTTGCTCTTCCATGTTCCGTGTCCGTATACAACTAAATATTTACGTTGATCACTCCTTTACTACTGGTTCACCCCCTGGTTACTAGACAACTGAATCCAACATCAAGTCTGAGGAGAGAAACATCTGTGGCAATGTCGATTGCTTGCAGATGGCATTATCGAGCGATATCGACATATACACTATCGGCTCCAACGAAATCGACAAAAGGAGGAAGTGAGCGCACGTAGAAACTCGGCTGCTCTTCCTATGCTTTGTAGAGGACCGTGTCGGTAAACAATCCACTGCACACCCAGAATCAACTATGCGCCCACCCGTACACAAAGAGACTTTGTTCCCTAAGTTGCCGTCTTCCACCTTGGCATTATTCGTGTGAAACAAGCTCTAAGTCTAGTCAATACCAAATTACCAAGGCCTCACTCCCATAAGATGATATCGGTTTCGAAGAGGTGGTGTTAAAGGCAATGAAGGCTATAGGACTCCTGCACTCCTGCTACCGAACCTAACTTACTACGAACGACCCAACTCCGGAGAGCAACAGTGCATATTTAAGTTCAAGGAGCTGACTGAGCCATTCTTCCTTTGGATCCACTGATCGAAGCCCAAGCGAAACTAGGCAAAACTGATTATCGAGGTTCAAGGACGACTATGCAGAGGTTTGGAGCGCCTTTGCGAGGACGTATGCCCTGATCATGCATTTAGTGGATCACTTGAAGCCGCCTCATTGCCATCACTGATTACTAGCTGAAATATAATAAAGAATAAGTAATAGTACAAAGAGCATTATTATGGAGTGTAAGCATTTAAAAAGGCCCACAGGATTTTCGTTTTCTTAAGACATGGCTATTTGACGAAAAAGTTTTGATTTGATGGAGGAATCGATCCGCAGGTGGCCTTTTTAGAGGCATTAGTGCTACTCACCGTTTTCATACATTTGCCTCACTCTTTAAGTTAATCTGGTTGCAAATGTTGTTATAACCACTATTTCAGGCTGATCGACTCAATTCACGAATTACAGTATGCTTACTGGCATTGTCATCGGTACTACTGATGTCATCACATTTCATGGGCGATCCAATAACATGCTGGACGCCAGCTCAATTCACAAAACAATGGTGAGCTTTCAGCTTCCGTTACAGCTTTTTTTCTTTAAAATTTCTTTAAAAAAAGATGTAACGGTTTATTTTGTAAAGTCATGTCCCGTAGAGCTCTTCAGGGGTCCTGAAAATTGAGATATAAGGCACTGCTCATATTGGGCGCACATGTGAGAAAAAATTCGTTGTAACGAATAAGATAGGTATTGATTGAGGGGATTGTTGGCTCCTGGATTTGCATGACGTCGGAAAGGAATGAAATACATAGATAGACAGATACAGTAGAGAGATTGCATCGCAACCTCGGGTCCTAAATCATCTACAAATGTAGATCTAATAGACTATTGATTACACTGTCGTCGATCCTTCATCTTACTGTGGCAAGTGCTCGTTAATGAGAAGTGTTTGTTAGCTGACATATATCATTAATAATTACCCTTGCCGCATCGCGACCGCACGCTTCCACTGATGGTTGCCTAACGTTTGCCACTCAGGGAATCTTTTTCGTACTGCTTGAAAAAATGTACTATTTTGATTTTGTTTCATTCAAAATGAACTAGTTCAAGTTCTATTTGCTCAGCCAAACTATCAACTTTCAGGGCAGATTTTGTAAATCAATATTGCTATGTACATGGGACATATTTCGTTTCCCTAAACGAATCGCTCCCATTTAACGAGTCGGAACGACGGAAAATCCCTATCAACTACTATCAATGGGTCAGTTTCAGGTTACATAGCTTCTTTGAAGCATATCCTTCATTATTGATATAGTGTACTACTTTCGCGAATCCATGCACATATTTCACGTTAGCGATCGATACCTATACAAACCATTAGCTATCTGAACATTCAAATGTTCGACAGTATAGAGAAGTCAAAGTGTAAACACAGAACAATCAGTCGTCCTCTTTTCCCCGGACGTTTTCCTAGGGTTGCTTCTATAATTCGATTTCCCTGTCTTAAAACATATTATGAAAAGGTGAAGTTGCTTACTTTCAAAGGCGCAGCGACTGCGACGCGACAGCTCGCATACTTTGTACATCTTACGGCCATGACCTGTCAGAAAAACAATGAGTTCCTTTTTGCCTACCTGCCCAACTATTGGAATTGACTTGGTCTTGAGCTTGGTTTCTCAGCGATTATTCAGAAGACCTCGAAAGAATTGTTCAGGAAATTGCTTGTTGATCCTTCAGAAACCCTCGAAATGCTTCACTGTTCTCACTACTAACTAAGTTTAGGGGATGAATACAGTTCTCCAGTACTAATAGTAATAATGGGTTTGAGATAAATTTCAGTTTAGCTTTTAGGTGCCATATATCCTTGCCGTTCAAGCGTTTCTGTTCTACATGCCACGGTTCATATGGAAATCACTTATTTCCGTTACCGGTATAGTAATGTCTGATCAATCGATAATCGATCAGTAATGAAGAAAAAGTCCCTTGACTGTTCAGGGTACGATCTGGCCGGTGCGATTCAATATGTGGACGCATTTTGGACAACGGTAAAGTCCAATGACGCAACTTTCAAAGGTGGACATCTTTTCGTCGAATCGGGGCTACGATTATTTTAATAAAATAATATATTTATTTATGATTGGTCAGCTTTCTATTCGAACTGTTTCAGCCCGCATAGCCGCGTTCGAAGGGCGTGCATCTGCCTATATATGGGATGGTTTACGGTTGGCAAGGAACAAAAACAGCCGAGACATGGCTCTCTACTATACAGTTTCCACGGTGATACAGACGTTGAACGCATGGCTTCAGGTAAGTTGGCGGTTCCAAAAATTGCGTACCCTATCCTTCTCTTTCTATCAGAGCTTTTTTCAGTGGTTATGCCTGAATGCGCTGTTGCAATCACCGCTTTACACACTTTGGGGACCCGCACTCGTTCATGATCTCATACGGGGAGACGATTGGCAGGTGAGGAAGAGGTGACGAATGAATGACCTGAAGAAATTCTCTCGTACCTCATCACTTTATTTATAAAAAAAAAACTTGGAAAACACTCCGAGGTTTATCGATTGATTTTTCTTGCGTTTATACTCTTTGCAGAGCAGCGATAGTTTGCCGCTAGAATTTCAGGCGATTTTCTGGTTCATCTTGGAATGGACAACGGTTCAATCCTTTGAACAATTTTTTAGTTTTCTCATTATTTTTCAAATCGAGTAGATAATGTAGGCCTCAGACGTGAGCGTACGCAACGCGTGTCATCGTCCAGAATTGATCGTGCGTATATTGCGTGACCAATACGTTGATAGACAAATATTAAACAATTGATGACCGTAACACTACATGCACTGCGGTCCAACATGGGTGATTTCTTCCCATGGACGCCCGCTCTTGTATTGTTTTAGAGAATGGAATGGGAGGAGTATACTTGTTATATACCGTGTTCCAGGTAACGGGACATTTCCCTCGCATTACCCATTGTGACTTCAATAGACGACGGCCAGCGAGCGTACAGGTATGTTGCGTTGTAAAATCAGAACGTTTTGAGGTCACTTTATAAATCATGGAATGCAAATATCCTACAAGCCCTTTAGGTGGACGCCCTGGTCATTCCTAACTGCTTAACAGGGGACACTCCCAAAACCCATGTGGCTTTCAAAAAAATTTCCAGAATTTAAGCTTTACTTTTGAGAACATGTTGTTTTCGAATTAATATGTACATGGCTGTTAAGTTCTTTCTGCAGCTACGGATTGACCAAAAAGAAAAGTGGGATCCTGAAAGGTCTTTGTGAGTTTTGTAGCATCGAATCGAGATCCACTCCCACCTGGTTGCTCCTCAATCCTATCCCGCCTGAAGCTTTCAGTAAAATGGTGACAACCCTTTTTTCTTTGAGGACGGCGATCCACAACAGCGATGGGTCATGAAATCCATCTATCATAAAATTATAAAGAGTTATTCGAGGATATTCAGTGACTTTTAAGATTTTCAGTTGGATACCGTACTCTGTGTATTGTCGCTGAATATTTACTATGAAAAGTTGTTCATATTTTTGTGGTTCTGGCTACTTTTCGTTGCCATCGTTTCCACATCGAATTCCATTTACTGGATTGGCAGTCTTTGTGTAAGCACAAAGGTGAGCATTTCTACTTCTAATCTCTGAAAAATCCGATTTTAGGAGAGAGTACTTTGTCAAAATTTCTTGTCTCCATTGTATGATGGACGAGATTGACCTTAGATATTCATTGGATGCAATCTTAAATCTTCCTCGATGTTCAGGCTCGTCGTATCGTGAGTATGTATTTGGCAACGGATCCCAGTAAAGATTCTAGTGGCCTGTCTACAGAGAAGTTTTTCAAAGTACTTGGACCGGATGGGCTGTTCGTTCTTCAACAAATGGCCCTCAACTTGGGTGACATCCCAGCCAGGTTTGAACTATTGCCAGTTTGCCTATAACGTTAAAAAAATTTAGACTTTGGAAAAATGTATACTTTTCAGTTACCTATCCATAGCGATGAGAAACGTGGGTGAACGTTGGATTGAAGAGGACCAGGATCACAATATGATTGTTGACGAAAAGACGCCATTGAAAAACTTCAAATCTGTTTAGCCACCTGCCTCTGCTTATCTGATAAACAATCCGGTTCTGGACCAACCCGGGCATTACTCAATCATGTTCATGTACATGTTCCACGTGATCAACGTCTTTACTTCAGGGATTTTACCGTAGTATTCGCTACGAAAGTGCCTAGCGTTGGATAACATTTTTTTCGCAGCTTTGTTCCTGTTTACTTGATGATTTCAGTTTTATCTGTCAGCAAATAAAATCCATTAGGTGATTACCATTGTGTCAGAACCCTGATATTGGCTTTATTCACCTGAATTGGAAAGGCATGAAAGGCCGTTTTTGAGGCGAAAACTTGGAAAAGCTGTCCTGGAAAAGGCCTCTACAGCAGTGGGAAGAAGACCTGATGGGTGTTGCCCTTTGATGTTCTAAAAATCAAAGAGCAGCCCGAATTTCACGCTCATTGCTCGAACCAGCATTTTCTTGGACATGGACTGATTCTGCAATAAAGCAATGCACTTTGAATATGAGACATCAGCTGATTACGGTATTATTCAATAAACATGTGTTTGGTCAGTCAGATCGAAATCTGGTTTGTTTTCAATGCTTACTTCATTGCACTTATTGCTTATGTTCGCATAAAAGGGGACCGCTCTGGCATAGACTAGTTGGCCTCGAAAAAATTCGTCCAAAAACTTCGATATACAGCAGGCAACTTCCAACTCTACCTTCCAAATCAGACTCTACCGGTAAGCCCCGACATGAAGTCCTCCTTGCTCAAGAATCAGCATCATAGCTTTTTTGAATCTAATCTTAGTGATACATCAGTTTAACTGATTATGGTCAGGTTTTGATATGTATCTGCGCTCGGGCTGAACCTTTTTTTCTGGTTGGGCTGATTGAAATGGGTCTAATGGACATTACAGCTTTTCTGCGTCTTGCTCAGATATATGAGTTGTGATAGTTCAGTCCCACAATGAACCTCAACCACTGGACAGTTTAAGCACCTAGCACCTAGCATCTATAGTACTCTCGGAAATTCTCGAACCCTAAAAGGTACTCAGGACCAAACCTTGAACTGACGGTTTCGTACTGTACCCATGAGGCTCCCAAAGCAAATGCAAGCGTGTCGCAGGACCAAACCTTGAACTGACGGTTTCGTACTGTACCCATGAGGCTCCCAAAGCAAATGCAAGCGTGTCGCTGAGGAAAAGAATTTTGTCAGAATAACTCCAGTGCACCTGAATTTCTTCCAACATCTGAATATAATTGGCTATCTTCGGCATCAAAAGAAAGCATCTATGGGGGAAGATTGGGGTTTGAAGAGGTACATGTAATATCTTGCACCTGAGGGAAACGTAGAACCTGACAAGTAACCATCCAATGGGAATACGACCCTCCAACCCGAATAAATGAAAATGGCCTTTTCGTTCCATGTCAGAACATCATTTCAAGATGTGCAAGACCACCCGATACACGGCATGTCTGGCCAAATACCATACTCATCTTCGAAAGAGGGGGAAAGAAATCATGTACAAGTAGTAGTTTTGAAATAGGATAATTTTTCAGTAGTCTGTGATTCTGCAGTGTCCCCCCTTGCTTTTTTGTTCAGGTTTGCCACAGGAATCCAGGAACAGTCGCACTCCTTCGGTCTTCTACACGAACACAACAAATTTTCATGGCTCATCTGGTTTTCTTCGTCAGCGTTATTACTCTTTCCATGGTAGGTCCCTCAAGAAATATTAGACCGACTTCGTAACTGTGAAAAGAAAAGATCGAAGCGAAATAAATACAAATAAAAATCTTTTCTAGGCTTGTAAACCTCACATGCCTATGCCGTCTTCTGTAGGCCTATTCAGCACTAATAGAACCAGTCTACTAGAAGCTCAAGTTTTGGTGAATTTAAAATCAAATTTAAGTAAAAAAACGGACCTGTTCGGCATAGTAGGTAAGTTGATTTTGTGACTATAATGATCGAATCATGAAAGAGCCTTCACTATGTATTGCCCATCTTAAGCGTTTTCGCTTAGATCGAACAACAAGAAGGAAGACGCGATCGGTATCAGAACGGTAGCTATTTGGAAAACTCTTTAAGTTCTACACCACCCACGATATGGAATGCAAACAGGTACTAATAGTCCTGTTTGCGGAATGAAGATTCAGAATATGAGCGGTGAACCTAAAAATCGAGCACTAGAGCCGAGCCTAAACTTTTTTCAAACATTTTTTTGCAGACAAATGTATCGTTGCCAGGGTAAAAGGATGTGAAGAAGCTTCCTTTCTCTCCCTCTTCCTTTCTCCTCCTCTTTGTTTTCTTCCTCCGGCTCCCATCGAAGGATCCGCTGCTTTCGGGTGTTGTCTCCGGTCCATTCTATTCACGGCATCTTAAACCACTACTCTATTTTCTTGAGATCTACCTTCACCGTCTCTTGTTTGGGACTCCACGTGGACACTTGGCGTGACCCCCCAATTTTGCTGTCGCCCTTGTCAGTGTAAAGTACTGCTCAACTTCGTGAATTTCTACCATGCAACGTGTAACGTCATCACCGGTTCCAGTACCACCACCACCATGGTCTTATCTATAAAATAAGGAGTCATTCAATAATAATGATAAATTGGATGAACATGAAAAACAACGAAAACAATTAATCAATGGAAAAATACTCGCTGTTGGAGGCATGAAATGACTATAAAATGAACAAGTTTCCAAAAACTGCAAGAGTTTGTTCTGCGGAACCACACACTGACAATCATATCCAGTTTTGAATACATTGTCTAAAATTCATTAACTGAATGCCAGTATTTTTTCAGTTCATCGTCATCGTCTGGGCACTGAGATTAGAAGGCCCATAGGCCCATCTCTCCGTGCACTAACAGTACAGGCTCTACCTACATACATATGCTCCACCTGTTTCTGAAATCTCCATTGTCGTTGAAATTAACTTTTTTCCTGACTTTAACGAGAGATTATACAAAGTATAGCTATCCATAAAAGGTGCTCAAACGAGAGATTATATGCCATAAATGATTCGCGCAATTTGCCACTATTGAGATTTCTCTGACGATTTCTGATCGAAATTTCATTTTGTTGTTTTCATTTCACTATATTTCAGAATGCTTGACTTACAAAAAATAAAAAGTTCATCTATGAGGAGTTCCTAAGGAGAATCAGTGTAATCGACAAAGTAGTCAACCATTCAATTCCGATTTCTATAGCCCCTGCACTCTAGGAAAACTTGAACAAAGTTTTCCTGACCTCGTCGCTCTTCTATTTCGAGTAAAAGAATTGTAAGTACACATGAGATGCCGTAAATAAGATAAAATATCAACCCGCTATTCTCCTGCAATGGTTTCAGAGGATATCAGGAATCAGACTGATAGGAGAGGATATAAGGAATCAGACTGATAGGATACCCCCGTTTCTCTTTGGCATCATCAAGCTACACCCTCCAAAATAGATGCAATTCAGGTTAATACTCTAATTGAACGTATTCACCACTCGAATATTCACTCTCAGGAAATTCTCAACAATTCTTCAATTTGTTCAGCACTAATAAATCAACTGTCAGTAAACGATCGTACTTTGGACAGTGCGTTCATTATGCAAATACACGAGTCCTTGCCCTATTGACATTGCTAAAAAGGTCGATTTCGAAGGTAAATAGCCTGAAGGGTTCTGACAAATGCAAAGTCGAGCTTCCGTAGCCCATATCTCTTCAATACGGATCTCACAACTCTTGGCTTCCACAAAAGTATAACAGGACTGTATGAAACCGGTTAGCCACAATATTCATTTCCACAGATCCCACAGGGCCAAATATCCCAGACAATCGTAAATAACCAATATTTTTCGGAAGATAAAAGGTCTATTTTGACTAATGAATGTCAATCCAAGGTCGGAGCGCAGTGCGCTACTCCTTCCCTGAGAAAATGGCTGTAGGGATGGGTGCTCCGGGATTTCATCATTGTCCACACGGAACTACATCGTCCCAACGGCCCGTAGCAGTATGAATTCCAGGCTCGACCCCTGGAAATGATCTTGATCATTGAAAATGATGGTAACAGCCTCTTCAGAACACAGAGTTTCATTATAGTTCCTGAGTTGTTTTTGGAGGAGAAGGGGTTTTGATATGGTCGAAGTTCATCTAGCTAATTTCAATCACTCTGTTTGATGATCACCCTTTTTACACTTCTAATCACAAGTCAAAGTCCCATCAATTGACTCTATAATGCGCTATCATTTCGATAACGATTCGATGAAGGAAGTTCTTGTGCCTGTTCAAATATTCGAGACTATTCACCATAAATTCAAGTTATTCGGCGAAACACAAAGGTCTCTATGAGACTTATCACTCGGCAGTCTGTCATGATGACGTGCCGCACCCGTCACATTGCATTTTCGCTCAATCCCTCTTATCTTCAACAATTGTTTACTCTTCTTATTTTAGTGTTTTTCATAGTTTTTCCCTACCACGTACCTCCACTTGTGCTGTTTCTTTTATTTGCAAATGCACTTCAGATGGATTACCGGGGTTTTCGTTCTCCTTCCTGCACCTTTCCCTAGCCCACCATTTCTCATCAGAGAACGTTCTGTCGAGCTTCCGTTCACCACTGATTGGGTAAGATTATCGTTAGATTAGTTGTATTACGACAAGTTGATTGCGAATTCGTAGGATGTCCTAGACAAGTCGATTGAGGCCACTATATGCTTTTTCTTTTCATCTTACTACTACTATATTTAGATATCGCTTATAAAACACATGAGTTGATATATAGCTCGCAATTATTCCTCCTACTTGGCCATTAATTACAAAGTGATTTTTTTTNTTTTTTTTCAATTCATACACAAAGTTATTTCCATATATCATTTGTCTTTCGAAAGAAAAAACGAACGAAAGTCTGACCGTTTAAGAAGAAGTTGCCTTTTCAACAGTTACAGCGCAACTCCAACAAAGGAATCACTCAAAAATTGTGTGAAGACTTCACTGAATGAAGATTTCCTTCTGAGCTTGCAACGTTCTTTATTTTGAACTTTTCCAAGTAGA